GAAATTACTTTAACTTCTTGAAACTTCAATGAAACTGAAAACAATAGATGACAAGGCATTTGCATTTCATGGCCCCAAGATCTGGAAAGCACTGCCTGGAGATTTGAAGAATGACCAAATCTTTTAGTTCATTCAAAATTCAAAGTCAGCTCAAGTCATTTCTGCTTTTACTTTTAGATTAAAGAGGCACACGTAAGCTTACTTGGATGTCCGCATTGATGCCATTGGTATTATTGATCATTAGCATGGTTTTCTTGGCGCTGATCTCCATGCTGTAGGCTGCTGAGGTTGTGTCCAGCCGCTCCACTAATGTGGCGAGCTCCGGTTCTTCTCCTGCTAATCCATCGATGTCATCGGCAAAACGCAAGTTTGTGATTGTCCTGCCTCCAATACTGATAGTTCCATTGTGGTCTTCCAGTGCGTCAGTCATGATTCGTTCTAGGAAGATGTTGAAGAGAGTGGGAGAGAGCAAACAGCCTTGTCTCACACCAACCGTTGCTCTGAATCAATCCCCCACGCTGCCGTTAAGGTAGACTGCGCTGGAGGCCTTGTCATATTGTTATTATCATTACTTTATCAATATTATTTTTCATTATTTATCAGTGAATTAAAAGTATTATTATCATTATTATTTTGTCATAGTGGTGTTGACGGTGATGTTGCCGCTGATAACACTAGTGGAATAGTGACGAAATGTTGTTATAATGACAGTGAATGAGGAGAAGGAGAAGGAGGAGAAGGAGAAGGAGGAGAAAGAGGAGTATAGATTCCAGGGGTGTAGAAATAGGCGGCAGAAGAAGAGGAGGTGGGGTTGATGGTGGTCAAGGAGTCAAAAAATATATGTGAACAAAGGAAGGGAAAGGGAGAAGGACGAGGAAAAGAAAAAGACTCAACTATGACAGAAAAATAATAATTAGTGAGCGTTTTACAGCACTTGCAACACAACTAGGACGTATAGTACAAGTGCCAGAGATTAGAGATATCACTAGAGAGCAACATATTCAAAAGAATAAGACAGATATTGGCAACAGATATTTCATATGGAAGAAGGAGCAAAGTACACCTGAGCTCACGCCAACCATCTACAACAACATAAGAAATTTGTACAGATAGGTAAGAGAAGAATTCCACTGGGTTCATTTATGTCATTTGTTGGGTTTTAAAAAAATAAATAAATAAAGTTTTGTTTGTAATTCCATTAATACTAGCATCAGTTATTGGTAGATCTAGTCATAAACCTTCTCTTTGTACAGAAATGATATCAGAGGTGCTGATTTTTACAAATAAATCCTGTAATCTGAATTTCTGATATTGTTCCGATTTTGCCCTAATAGTAGATTCGTGCAAGTCATGTCATATTGAGCTGTGTGTTAAATGGTCTAGACACAAGAGGTATTATCATACATTCGCAGATAAAACAGAGCTGTTTCACCCCCACCTTATTGAGAGCCGTTCCATCTCAGCCTCATGGAGAGGAGTATTATCTCCACCATAGGGAGATAGGTTTTATCTCCATCTTATGGAAAGTCATTTTATCTCCACACTAGGGAGATAGGTTTAATCTCCATCTTATGGAAAGTCGTTTTATCTCCACCTTAATTAAGTGCAAAGAGCCTAACAATTACAACACAGACATTGAAACCCCCCAACAAATAAAAAAACCCCCATCTTAATATTGAAAACACAAATGAAAACAACTTCTTTTAAATATTTCACTGTTTCCATGCGGTTAAAAGCAGAACAGACATTGTCTGAATCTCATAAGTATGCATGAGACTGTGAAATTTATTTTCAATATACATATAAGTTAACAAGCCAAGGATATCTTTACACATAAACAGTATTATCAGTATATTCAAATATTTTCAATACATCAGTAGAAACAAGTTTCCCTATATAGATGCCATACCTACACAATCTAGAAAAATCATTTATAAAAATGATGACCCATAAAAACATCCGTGAAAGACAGAAGGGTTAAAAAAAAAGTCAGTAAAACCTTATATTATGATCATTAGACTTTTCTACGGGATACAGTTTTTTATAAAATGGGGGTTGGGGTCAAATCTAACAGAGGTTTAAAATCAAATCATTACAATACTAACAAGTACTTAAATATATTAAATCCAAGCTGATCTAGCCCATTCATTATTGAGTAATTTTAAACCTTTAGAGTAAAATTACTTTTATGAAAAAATAACCAACAAATTGATTTTAAAAATAGTTCTTATGTTTTTTCCACATGTGGGGTGGGGGTGGGGGGCTTGTTGCATTGTCTGATTTTCCATGACCCTGAATACATTTGAATGAGAATACAATCTTTAGAATACTTATTAACATAAAAGTAAACATGAAATAAAAATATTCCATTCCAGAAGCATTATTCAGTCCAGCAAATCAGCCCTGTCAGTGCAAAACAATGTTCGCTTTTTTTTTCTCGTCTTTGTGTGTGAGTGTATGCATAGGAACTGTGTGTAAGTACATATGTGTGTGAGTAAATGTGTGTTTGTGTGTGTGCATATGTACATGTATGTGTGAGTACCTATGTTTTTTGTTTTAATAAGGTTTTACGGCGCTCGCAACTGCATAAGGTCATATGAGCGTCAAGGGGTGGATGTCAACAGAGAAATCCTTACAGGGAATCAGACTTACACTGCTCAGCTCTCTAGCTTCAACACCATAAATTCTGCTTCGACTATCAAGGCACCCCGGAAATAGTGGGTCACAAACATACAAAAGAAGTAGAGGAAAATGACGATAGTAAGGATTACGAAAGAAAAAGCAGCAGTACCCTGTTGTAGTTAGGCAAAGTTATGAGCATGACATTGTAGGATCAGCCCATTTACAATTCGACAGTGCTTTAGAACGAGAAGTGTCCCCCCTTGGGGAATGGCCTAAAGACACTTCAGTCAGTGGCACTGCCCTGGGGGTGAGTACATATGTGTGTAAATATGTGTGCATATATGAATGTGTACATTGTGTCTGTGTGTGTTTATGTGTGTGTGTTGTTCAATGGTCTCATAAAGTACCTTTTCTGACTTTCGGTTTGTCAGTGGTATTGAATAATAATTCTGCACTGTAAAGCACTTAGGGCTTTACGGATTAGGCATTACATAAATTTTAATTATAGTTATCATTATCATTATTATCATTGTCATAGTTTTCTTTCCATTCTGATCAGTTACACTCAAAATGGTAGAAGTCAAAGTCAAAGGGCAGCACTGAGAACATATTTTGCTATTATCTCCCCTGTCTAGTACACAACAAATCTGACTAGTCACATTTTATACTCAGTGCCTATTGGCATGATAAGTTCAGTTCGGTTCGGTTCGGAAGGAGGGGCTAGCCAGATTGAAGGCGAAAAGCGACCATTGTGGCACAAACCGAACGAAGCCGACAGTGATCCTAAAAAACAAACGCGCTTGTTTTAAATACCACAACTAGGTCTGTATTAGAGAACCGATCCCCCAAAGGGGCACAGGGTATAACTCTCAGCTACACTGTAACCTTTGCCCATCCATTAACAAAAAGAATGCACTCACTTTAATATGAACACATATAAGATATTTGGCTATGGGAAACTATCGCTGCCTTCAGTTCAATTATGCATTCCTTCGGTATGAGACATGAGTACATCTTTGAGTGTAAAGTAAATGATAAAACAAATACTTATGAAGAACTAAATCCTGGTCATCTTTATCCATCACGCCATCCAACTTCTGACCTTATTCATCGAGCCGTCAAGCCCCTGACCTTACTCATCATACCATCAAAATTCTTCTGATCTTAATCATTATACCATCAAGCTTCTTCTGACCTTATTCATCATACCATCAAGCTTCTTCTGACCTTATTCATCATACCATCAAGCTTCTTCTGACCTTACTCATCATACCATCAAACTTCTTCTGACCTTATTCATCATACCATCAAACTTCTTCTGAACATACTCATCATACCATCAAACTTCTTCTGACCTTACTCATCAAACCATCAAACTTCTTCTGACCTTACTCAGCTTACCACTGAACTCCTGACCTTACTAATCATTTTGTTTCAACTCAAGACCTGTCTACGGTAAAATCTTTTACATAAATGCCCTAGCTAATAATTCAAGAACTTAACAAATCTGTTCATACTGACTCTTTCATAGACCACACAAAAGTGTTTCCAGCTGGGAACATAATCATTATGTTAATAAGTTAAGGCTTGTAGAATGTAGCTTACATTCACTGATACACTGGCCACATCTTTTTGAGAGTCCAATTTATTATTATTATTATTATTATATATATATATATATATATATATAGTGTAGTCCACTTATATCGACAGCCGATGTATCGACATTTTGACAAATCGACATATTTTCTAATTATGAAATTTTTCCTTCAATATCTTCTTCACAAAAAATTTATCTTAACATTTTTTCGGCCCACTCTGCTTTATGGACATGCTTCCTGGGTACCTGGCGAAGCCCACGAACATAAATGAGGGGAAAAAACCACGCTTACAGTCAACGCATTAGTTCTTCATAAAGTCCGCATACCCACCTTGTAGCCTATTCGACACACCGCGCTGTAGTAAGTCATGTAGGGCCTACACAGTGTAGTCTCCAACACAGTACAGTGCCTCACAGACGTGAGCATCTTGTGCGCTGGGCATCACCTCCCTACCCCCACTCCTGGTCGCTCACTTCCCTTCCCCTTCTCAGTCTATCGTTGGCAAGTGCCACGGTCAGCGAGTCCGTGCCTCACCTTTCCATTCTCCCCAGCAAGCAGCCATAAACAGGTCTTACAAGGATGCTACAACAAAGGTGTGTCGTGTGCGCCTTGCGCCCTTCGGTCTTTGGTACACAACTTCAACCCCTACCTTCTGCCTCTTGTTAGTTTCACTGTGTAGTTAGTTGTGTAAGAATCAAGAGAAGCAACCAGCTTAAAAAGTAGTGTTGTCTTTTTTTACCGCTGACCTCCCCTTGTTTTTTCCTCTTTGACTTTATATTTTTATTTATTGACAGTTTTATATATCGACATCAAATCCACTTCCCAAAGCATGTCGATATAAGCGGATAGTTCAGTATTGTTGGCGAGTCATTCAAATATATATATGCTTAGCCCAGACAGCAAAATTTTACAGGAGTGAGAAAACTTTGTTTCATTCTTTAAACAATTCTATCTACATTATGTATCTTTTCTTGCTTGTTTCAAAATGGTTCTAGAAAAAAAAATCCAGACGGTTTGATATAACACTGAAATAACTCAAAAGACACTCTATAACTATTTTCCATACAATTTGTATAAAATTTAGAAATATTTATACAATGAAAGAGCAATTTTATATATGCTTGTTCTACTTGTTCTATACTCAGGACAGTAAGAATAATTTCACTTACAAAATATGGAACAGGAAGGCATGAGGACGGAAAGTGTTAACTTCCAGATTAAGACCTTGAAGTCAAAACATCACCAGGAATTCGTAAAGCTTTACAGCTACAAGTAAAACATGCATGTTGTCAAGAAATCAACACATACATCAACCCAATACTTTTCAGAACACAATACAGTCTAGCATGCACATATTGTATTTAAACATGTACCTAGCAAAATTTGTACAACAGGAGAAGATTTTCCTGTCCCGCCAGTTTCGTGGCAGACTGTATATCTTATGTACAACTAATTCTTTGTTCTTGGCACCGGCAAAATAGCTTGAACTGAAACATAAGGCCCACAAGACATAGTGCATCCCTTCATTTCTAAATGAAATTTAAAAATTATTCAGATTAGGCAAAATGTGAATAAGTCTGATATCTTCACTGAGCTAGAAAAATGGCATACCACAGAGTTGTGCCAAAATGCAACTAACCCATCATTTTGTTTGATGGTACTATACTATATGTATATCAATGTTTGGGCAAAAAATCCAAACAAAAATGAGCTGGCAGTCACAAAAGAAACATGCACAGCAAGTTACCATTATTAGATGATAAAGTCTACCGGTAATTAAAAGTTTTTTCCCTATGTCTCAAAAGTAGCAAAAATGAGATGTGCCATTTTGCTAGTGCAGTGACGATATGGTACACAAAACAAATGGATGGTTTGAGGCAAGGGACTGGAGTAACATGACTAGATGCAGAAAGAAATCTCTCGAAATCAGATTAACAATTATATCTTACAATGAGAAGATTCAAAATTCTGTAGAACAAAAGCAAAAAAGAAATACAAATTCTGTGTCCCTCTTTCCATCACCCTACATAAACCAGCAGATGAAAAAAGAAACCAAACCAGAGGCAAAACAAAAATTGTAAAACAAAGTCTTAGGTCTCAAAACAGTAAGCAGTACATGGTAATCACATTGGGATTTTGATTCTTGGATAATTTTATGATGTTGAATGCTGATGCAGTACATATTAGTGTCAAAACTTGCTTGCATTGCATGCCTCCTGGGGAAGCCAAGAATGCTTCTGAGTTGTGTTGTAGGGTCTGCTGTAGTTATTATAGTTGTAAAGTGCATACAGCATGCTGAAGAGCATGGTATACGCTATATAAACCCAAGTATTGTCATTATCATTATTTTCATTTTAAAAAGTTGGAACCAGCAGTGGTTTCCTCTATTGGCATTGACTGACCACGAAGGAGATAGTCTCTCAACTTTACAGTTACCTGCAGCATGCAACAGGGCAGTCACCTTGACTGACAGTTGTCTGCTAGAGAAGAGAACCGGATAGATAAAGGACTATAGTCAGCATCGCGCCACAAGAACCGAAGTAATTTTTGGAAGTTTTGAGAAAATAAAAGAAAAAAAGTTTGTCTAAATCAAAATCATGAACTGAGCTAATCATTTTTCAATTAAAAACCAGGGAAAAGAAAACAAACAACGAAACAAAACTATATTGTAAGATGCCCTTTGATGTCTTTATGCGAACAACGGCTTTACCTGAAACCTCCAGAAACTCATTTGGACGATTGTGGGCGGACGCTGACAATATTAATTAGTATAATCACTTTTGGAGAACTATAAAATTCATAATTAAAAGGAAAAAGATTGGGAACTGGCACAGTATAAAACTGGTAAAAAATCTTTGTCATCACTCAGCAGACGCAGTGAAAATACACCATGAGATCTTTCCAGGCAAAGCTCCGATGTGAAAAGCAACTGACTAAACATGTCCGAGGCAGAAAAACATACAATACAACACCATTACAAATGGAAAAATAGAAAAGTAGTCTTCAAAATTCGTCAGAAACTACCACATTAAGCAAATACAGAAGACTATTAGACAGGGGAAAAAGCTCTTTCAGTCAAACGATACTTCTTTAATAAAATAATCAGAGAAAGAAAAGCTGCCACCCTCAACCAATGCTAATGAAGTGGTTTGTAGAGCCGAGTTTATTTTTCATAAATGTTTTTCGCTCCCATTGAAACATTTTAAATCATTTAGGAAATGGGCTGCTTCAACCGGCCACCAGTCAGGACCAACCTAAACTGAGTGAGATAAGAAATTCTAAGAATAGACAGAGAAAACCCGCTAACCCAGAATAACAAAGTTCTGACTAAGAAATTTTGTGTTTGGAGTTAGGCTAAGTTAGAGTGTCTGTGGCCTCCCCTTGTACTCCCTCTCTGAATATAAAAGATAGGACTTTTGATTCTGTATTTTCTGAGATGAATACCATGTTAATTTTGTCCTTCATTTGTGGGAATTAATATTATGTGTGAAAACTGTTAACTCAAGCCTTGTTACTTGTTATTCTGGGGCCACAAATCTCTAAAAGAAACATCCCCACTAAGGAAACAAGCTAAAGTCTTTTGAGTGCAACAGTGAAGAGCTTAACATGAACACCACAGTCACTGGCATAGCAGACAGTCCAAATCACAAGGATTCCACAGAGAAAGCACATATGCCCAGTCAGCAATAAGATATAAAACAAGGACAACTGCCACACTGACTTCACAAGACTTGTGGGAAATAATACAGAGGAGTCTGCTTGAACCAAACACACTGAATTCGAAAACATTTGCGAAAAAAATTTCCTCCAATTTTTTTTCTTCTATTTGGACAACTCTCTTAACCGTAAAAGCGGCTAAACCGAAGGAAAAAAAATCCGACAGTCCCATAGACTTTGGTTTAAGCAGACTCCATTGTATATTGCGTGACCAAACATAAAATGTATATCACATATGGCTGTCATGAACTGTTGTCAAATAGAAGTAAAACGTATGGAAAATGCTGTCATTCCAGAATTCCTAAAATTTCTGGCAAAGTGGTACTCTGAAAGAGCCAAATTGCTTTTGAACACTTCTTGAGTACAGCTGGTTGTCTTGACGGTATCCACAGAGCTCACACCAATGTCCCAGAGGGAAACAAGTCCTGCTATTTCTGCTTACCAAAGGCAAGGTCAAAGTCATCATCTTGGAGGGCTGACAAAAAATCCCTGAAAAGTAGAAAAATGTTGGGTTTTTTTGTAAACACAGTAGAGGCTTTCACCACAATAGACAATTCAAATAGGACAACAAAGAATAATAATGAAGGAGGTAGGCGTCAAGAGACTGGTTCTGGCACAGCGTCTACCTTATCTTCCCATGGAGGGCCTAGTGGTAGAAGACAGAAAATATTCATCATCATCATCATTGCCTTTCTCACCCTGCACCAGGGTATAGGCCACGGACAAACACTTTCCACTTTTCTCTATCCTGGGATAGCCTCTTGAGACAGAATATATTGCCTGCTTTTCAGATGTCCTATGCCAAAAAATTTGAAATATTTTTTTCTTACTTCAGTTTCTCAATGCATGGCATCAGTTGTTTGTGGTCGCAAAATACTTTTTTTAAAATATTTTTTTTAGTAAAGGGTTTTACGGCGCTCGCAACTGCATAAGGTCATATGAGCGCCAAGGGGTGGGTGTCAACAGAGAAGTCTTTGCAGGCAATCAGACTTACTCTGCTCACCTCTCTAGATTCAACAGCACAAAGTCTGCTTTGACTATCAAGGCACCCTTGAAATAGCAGGTCACAAGAGTGTGACAAACATACAAAAGAAGTAGAGGAGAAATGACAATAGTAAGGATTAGGAAAGAAAAAGCAGCAGTTCCCTGTTGTAGATCAGGCACAGTTATGAGTGTGACATGGTGAATCAGCCCATTTACAATTCTACTGTGCAAGAACGAGAAATGTCCTCCCTTTGGGAATGGCCTAAAGACACTACAGTCAGTGCCACTGCCCCGCGGGGGAGGCAAAATACTTTGTTGAAATTTGAATTATACATGTTGAAAAAAAAAAAACAAGAAAAAGAAAGAAAAGATGCATAATGTAAGTACTATTTCTAAAAGAACTGAAACAGTTTTTTCTCTCTCCTGAAAATGTTGCTTTCTGGGTTCAGAACAGTAGAACAACTTGCGATGACATATTCTATTCTTTTAAACATTTCACTAAGAAGGAAGATATCTTGTTCTTTAATTGTCACACATGTAAAATTCACGGATACCTTACCACATAAGTGACTTCCAGCAAACAAAGTGGTCTCTCGAAAGCACTTAGTTTATGACCAGCACTAAGAATACTTACTTAAACCAACCTGTTTTTCGGTATCTAATCACTGATCTCTAAATGTTCGCAACACAGAGGTAAATGCATTCTTTGCTCATTTGCAAGGTACATGCATTTTTAAACAAAGAATGTTCCACTCTGAGTCATAGATACAGCATATTTTTCCTCCATGAGCACAGTTAGCAAACATGGTCTTCCAACTAACAGATGGCAGGTCACAGGTGTAAACCTGCTCCACACACTATTGAAATTTGCCATATGTCCAGAAAATGACCACATTATTCTGCATTAATATCTGCCACTTGTCCAGATTTCTGTCAGTGAAAATGTTGATTTTTAAATAACACTGATATTCCCTAATGGAGAAGCTATTGCCATGCCAGTTCTAGCCTTTGCCAAGTATGGAAAATGGTGTCAAATGTGCAAACAACAAACAACACCCCCCCCTCCAAAAAAAAAGCAACCCTAAAACAAAACCAAACCACTTTGACTTACCCAAGTTGATTATTTTCTCCTGTGTTCTGAGAATTCCTTTGTGTGGGAAGTGGTTCTGGAGGAGGGAGCCTCGTCGTACGACCTGGTTGTCATAGAAAAAAATACACAACAAAAAATTATGAAAAATGCAAGCAGTGAAAACTCCAACTTAATATAATACATCTATGATGTCTTGAGCATTGAAACGTTTTCTGTTCAAACGGTTTTGTCAGATTTTAAAAAGCACTTAACTACTTTTTCTTGAAGGGTCGTATTAGACTTAGAGACTATTCGAAACTGATGTTTGAAAATGGTGAAATGGTATAGGTTTAAAATCCTTATCAATACTATAACGTGATTTAATAGGTGGGGCCTCCGAGTTTAACGTCCATCTCCAAAAGGACTGACCAGAGTACACAACGTCAGACTGAGCTGGGGCTTCAACTCTTGAACCTGCAATCTCATGGGTCCAGTAACCTTATCACCAAGCTACACTGAAGTCTGAACCTGTAATTTCTGTCGACAAAGGGGCATCCAGCAGTCTCTTGGCTTCGGTTCTACATGCTCAAAATGAATCAAAACGAGAAAAATCAGGGGGCACAACAGCTGTAGATTTTCCTCATTTATCAATAACAGAAAATAATATCGATTCACTTTTGGAAATGAGAAATGGAAAAATAGAGATCATGACTTTCTCCGTGAGGAAAACTCTTTACATGTGAAGCCAGCAGTCTGGTAGTTACACTAACCGACTCTTAATTGTGAGGTCGCAGGTTCGGGAGTTCAAGGCTCAGTTTGGCCCGAGAAGCACATTGATTCAAAGGAAAAATGATGATCCTTTTCTGCTGGGAAAAAGCAAGACAGACAAAGAGAAATAAAAGAAAGATGGTAAAGAAATAGGACCTGCCAGTGGTGCTCCCAAACCACCAGTATGAGTCATTCATTAAGAAAAACACTCAATATCTATCTGCTATTCTGCCACTGAAAGGCAGACCAATGTAACAGCAAGTTTCATGATTTTGAGAAAGATGCACAAAACTCTTAATGCTTATTTATAAAATTATTAATCAACACAGGTTTACAACTTTGGAACTATTATTTTGGATGCAGATAAACCATCCTACCTTTGACACAAGAAGTATTTATCGGCATGACCAGTGTAATTTTAAAAAACCTAAAAAAAAAAACTTCAACAAAACTTAATTTTTTTATATAAATTGCATTGCCTTGGTACGGCAGTACTCCAGGCAGTGCATGACAACGTAAATGGTAATTCACCCGTGAAAATACTCTGTATCTGCCGTTTACTGTTCTGCTGTTGTCGCTGCGCCCCCATCTCCTGAGCGTTTTGCTCCAGTATCCCTGAGATGCGGTTCAGCTGTCGTTCCAGCCGTCCAGCGCTGGCGTTGTTCCGCGGTGACCCCCGCCCTGTGTGGGACGTGCTCTCACTCACACTGGTGGCTGCCATCAAGTCCTCGATGCTGATCTGTTAAGGCATAGGAACACTTTTCATCAAGTTGAAAAAGAAGAAGAAGAAGACGACGACTTAAGAAAAAGAGGAGGAGGAGGAAGAAGAAGAAACAGGAGGAGGAGGAGGAGAAAAAGAAGGAAGAAGAAGAAAAAGAAAAAGAAGAAAAAAGATAATATGACAAGTAACATTTGAAGGAAAAAAAAAGAAAGAATTTTTACAAAGAAAAAAAGCAACATTTTCCCTAAGCTAAGCTGTAAACAGCAGCCAGGCTGTTATCCTCTTCTCCTCTTGTATGACATCCTATTTTATGTCCCAGCTCAGAATTTCACAGTAATGCAGGGAAGTTGTACCCCATTCTACCGGATTGGCAGTGATGGGCAGGGTAAAAGTTGACCACCCCCTCGATCAATCTAAATTGTGTCAACGGGTGTGTAAAACATTACCAATCTTAGACTACAATCAAGTAATTTAGACTAAGAGTAAACAATACTGTGTACTACAGGAAAAAATAATGAAAAAAGAGCTAAAACTACAAAAACTTTGTAATTAAAGATCTTTTTCCCGAGCTGAGCACAGTTAATTGTATTATAACTGAAATGTTGTGGCTGTGCAATATGGTGACCAGTGTCAGTAAAACCTACTTCTTTCTGAGGATCATTTTTCCTCTTGTCCTCCAGGTGAGAGAAGTCAGTGGTCATCATGTACTGGACAGCGGCCTTGAAGGTGACCAAGCAGTAGCTGAAACAGAAGCACAAGCTACGGGTCAAAATGCTGAATTTTAGCAGCACTCCAAAAACTTTATAGCTTTTACTTTTAGTAAAAGTTTTACAGCACTTGCAACACACACAGGTCATATATTTGCCAAAGATTAGAGGTGTTACTAGAGAGTAATGTAGCCTACATAGAAAAGAAGGAGAGATAAGAATGATGGAGATATTTGATAGGAAAGAAGGAGCAAACCACACTAGAGTGCCTGCAAGCACCCACACTCCCAAAACACTATCTCCTTTACATACAAAGAGAGGGAAGGAATAAAAGTAAGAGAGAAGCAGATAGAGAGAGAGAGAGAGAGAGAGAGAGAGAGAGAGAGAGAGAGAGAGAGAGAGAGAGAGAGAGAGAGAGAGCGAGAGAGAGAGAGAGGGAGGGAGAGACAAACAGGGAGAGAGAGAGAGAGAGAGAGAGAGAGAGAGAGAGAGAGAGAGAGAGAGAGACAGACAGAAAGACAGACAGACAGAGACAGAGGGGGAGAGAGAGAGACAGACGAAGAGACAATGTAGACCTGAGATCATCTCGATCTTTATCCATGGACTCCCAGATGAAATGTTCCATGTAGAAAAGGTCGCTGTGTAGGTGGCAGCACTTGGCCTGAGCTATGACCATCACCTGCAAACAGAGAAGGAAACATGCTAAACAGATAAGACTATGCTTTAATAAATTACACTTACATTGGGCATTTCCATCAGGAAAGTATGCAATCAGCTTCAGGATAATACAAAAATGATCCTTTCACACTCCCCCCCCCCCTCTCTCTCTCTCTCTCTCTCTCTCTCTCTGATACTTAAAAAGGCCTTATCACATTGCTAAGCTATCACCATCACCTACAGACAGAATATAAAATACGCTAAACACACAATGATACGCTTGGAAAAACTTCACATCTCCTCCATTGTGCACACTGACAATCAAGAGCAAGACTTTCGCCGTAGTTTAATACCTGATGGCATTACAATAGCCAAACATTAGTGTTCGCCCTGGTCAAAATCAGTTGTAAGACGTAATGTGCTATTTGTAGCTACGAGGCTTGAAAGGCTAAAAAGTGACTTTCCATTAATTTTTTATTTTTTGGATCTATTGAAAGTTTAATGTCTTCTGCGTCATTTAAGACAAAAAATAAACAACTGTAATCTACTATAAATATTATATTTTCTTTAATTTTGGAGGTGTGTTTGGTTTCTGGTGAGCTCGCGTGGCAAGATAAAGGAATTTGGACCTCAAAACCCTTTCAAACATTTGACCTCCTGGTGAGTAGCTGAGAGATTATTTATTGAACCATAAGTCATGGCCACCTATCTTCAACATCCTTCATTCGTTCCTATTTTTAGATTTAGAGCCCTTTTCGAGCATGAATGGTGTGAAATATAAACAACTTAGTGTCACTATGAATGGCTGAGGGCTCTGATTGGTTAAACAGGGTAAGAACGGTAACTCCTAGCCCACTACAAGCTTGTTTACGTAAACAGCTGACTGTGTAGGTGTGCCCTGCCAGCTCAATTTTGGGCTGTTGATCTATCAGCTTTATACTTTGATTTACTTCAAAAGTTCGTTTTTATTGTGTTTTAGAGTTTTTTTTAAAGATTAATTGATCTTCCTTTAGATCTCCTAAGGCTGACTCCTTACCAATAGGCCACTGAGGCGGTCTGTGTGCATGTTTGTGTATGTGTGTGTGTGTATATATGTGTGTATGTGTGTGTGTGTATATATGTGTGTATGTGTATGTATATGTGTGTGTGCGCTTGTGGGTTTTTGGTGCTATGGCAAACGTATAATTAGGAAGCGTAAAGACGGCACGTAAGCCGACTAGCGTCTTTCTGAGCGTGTGGTTTGGTGAAATCGAGGTAATTCAGATCGCGGTTACTTTGATTTTAACTCTAACACACCAAATGCTGTGCACCTTGAAAAAGTCAAGCTTTTCTTCGTTACAATAGCGTAATTTATTAGTATAATTCCGAATATTTGGAGCTAGAGAATCGCCGTGGAAAGCGAAGCCCCTCGCGGTCAGAATGCGGGGTCCACCAGTTCAAAAAGTGACACCCGGCACCCATGTTTTCAAAAGCTTTGAAGAAAGAGTTATGATTAAATACCGTCTTGTCATTGGCGGGCAACAATAGAGCTTTGAACGGGGCTTCCAGTGGTATATTTTTGGCATTTGGCGTTTAAATGGAAAGCCTTTAAAAAGCCTCCAAGTTTTCAAAGATCATTTTTTAACACGAGTTATGAAAAATACCGGCTCAAAAAAGGTTCCAATAGAAAGAACAGTTCTTTTTCAATTAGAATAAAGTCATCGGCTTGGAATTATTTCGCAGCAATCCTTCCGCAAAACTCCGCGGAGCACTCAGTATACTACAGTATAGAGCCGTTTTGCTCGCCTAGGGGCCAGTGCGGCACCGGCCGGGTCAGCGCTCTGTGTTTTTAAAAATTGAAATAATGGCAGACCATCATGTTTGAGGCAATAAAAATACTGATTTATAGTAATCTCACAGTCTTGAAAAAAATTAGGCACCACTCATATGTTATCCTATGTCAATGGAACATCATATCAATTATTTATCTACCATTTTATTTTGTGAATTGCGTAGAATTGGTCATTTGTCTATGTTTTTGAATGAACACTCGTTGAAAACGCTCGTGTCATCTTTCTTGTTTTCGCGCATCGATTATTGCAATGCTTTACTAGCTAACTTACCAAATACCACTCTTCACAAGTTACAACGTTTTCAAAATCATGCTGCTAGGCTTGTACTAAAGAAAAAGAAGAGGGACCACATTACGCCCATGTTAAGAACGTTGCATTGGCTTCCCGTGTCAGCTAGAATGTCATATAAAATTGCAATATTATGTCATAAATGTGTCAATAACAAAGCTCCCTCATATCTTAGTGATCTCATCCAGATTTATATTCCATCCAGATCACTAAGATCAGGCGATCAGTATCTTTTAAGAGTTCCTAGAAAAGGGAGTAAAAAATTAGCTGAAAGATCGTTCGCCCACCTTGCTCCGTCAGTTTGGAACTCTCTCCCCCAACCCTTGAGACATACAACATATGAGTTTAAATTTAAGAAATCTTTAAAGACTCATTTAATGACATCCTTTTTAAGTCAGTAGATTCATGTTCAGTACAATGTTATGTAAATGACTATGTATCCATTTATGTATTTTGTGAATTGCATTGTGTATATTATTTTATGCTCATTTCGTGACGATGTGTAAGCGTGTGTGTGTGATAAGCAAGTAGATGTGTGTGTGTGTGTGCGTGTATGTGTGTGTGTGTGTGCGTGTATGTGTGTGTGTGTGTGTGTGTGCGTGTGTGTTTGGCATACATGTGTGTGCACATGTATGCATGTTATGTGTTCGTGAGTGTGTATGTGTGTGTTTGTGTGTGTATGTGTATATGTGTGTGTGTGTTTGTGTGCGTGTGTATGAGTGTGTGTATTGCGCGTGTGTGTAGCGTGCGTGATTATTGTTTGTACATGCATTTATGTAAAGCGCCTAGAGCTGTGTTTACACGGGAGTGGGCACTATAGAAATGATCTTCATTATTATTATTATTATCATAGTGAATGTACTCTGTTAATGTGGAGATGTTTGGTGCACTTGGTACTCTTTTATCACCTGTCAAACATGGGGTTGCAGCCAGTCAGCGAATTTAGCAATATTCGATTATATATATTAAATTGAAACAGCTGCCATTTTCTTAAACATTGACTGAGAGGTAAAAGTATGGTACCAAAATTCTCAAGAGACACAGGCCTTTCATACGGAACAGATAAATTTGACATACAGCTATTTTGAAAATTCAGTTTCTTGACCCTAGTACAAGGCTAACACGTTGTTGCATTTGACTTGAAGTCCATTATCTTTAAAGTTTTGTTTTGTCCATAAGTTTTTTTTCTTCTACAAATGAATAGTTTTCTACTTCTGTGCGTTACCTAGTAGTGGCCTTGCCAAAATAACTGCTTAATTTCAAATCTCTAACTCAATTCCAAGACTCCCATTGCTATGGAAACATGTTGCTCAACTTTGGAGCTCATTTTCTCCTCTTCGTTTTTCAGCATCTTGCACACTTCTTAAAAGTTCCATATTTTCGTCATGTAGTGTCTTATTTACTTCATCCCCCCCCCCCCTAATTGTAGTGAATGTAGTGAAATGGTGATAGTTTTTGGAAATTATGTTAACTCAATTTTGAAATTTCCTTCATATGACTGATTTCGACCGGGAGGGTCACATTTTGGGGGAAACATAGAAAATACATTAACACAATAACAGCTGTACGTTTGAGTCTGAGAAAAGAACAACACATTCACATGAATATTCAGCATCATGCCACTTTTTAAAGCCAATTGCCTTGTGGCAGATTACCTTTTAGCTCCTCCCAAAACATCATAATTGCTGTCTAAAAGAAGAATATAAACACATAAGCACAAAAATTTGCAACCCATACCAGAATAGGAATGAGATCATCTGATGTAATACATGGCTCATCCTCCTCTGAAAAAGAATAGAAGGAAAAGGAAAATGAAATAAATCTTAGTGCTGTTTTACATGACTGATGTTGATGCAGATAATATTTCTAGAGAACTACCAAAAAACTCACCAAAGCAAACACTTTTAAAAGTACAAATTTATTTATTAAAAAACTAATTAGGTCTTGAAAAACAATTATTTGCAAGGGTATGATTTTCTTTTCACATTGTTAAACCAGCAGGAGAAAGAAGATATTCACATGCACATTCAAGGTGTAGTCTTGGATCTCAGGAATCAACCGACTGCAGAAAAAATATCAGAGCTATGACTAATTGTTTTTACTGACTCAAAGAGTTCAGCATAAAGAGGAAAGGTTCAGAAAAATTGCTTCCAATCCTGAGGTCTATAGCTCAATCCCAGCAGATCCTACAAGGTATTTTTTCTTTCAAATAGAGAATTTTCATAGGTCCCTGACAATGGTTCGCTTCTGGGTAGACTAGCATGAAAATAAAGGTGACTCCTCTTAAGTATATAGATCTATGTTTGTTTCATTACATAGATAAAAGAAAGATAGAAAAGAAATGGGATCTACTAGTGGTGCCCTCCAACTACCCACAAATAAAGAAGAAAAAAAAAAGAATGTAATCGATAAAGGCATAACACAAGGCAATACCAACACCAAAGACACTCTCTAGAACTTACCAGTAGTTATACCGGCGAGCTGTTCCTGCCGTGAGCCTTTGATGGACTGAGTGATGCCCTCTGTGATGTTATCCTGTCAGGGGGGATACAAAGGTGCAGCAATCAAATCAACACACATTAAAAAAAAACAGAACCAAAAAAAAAGAAGAAAGATAAATGAAGTAAAGAGTGAAAGAATAAATTTTGCATTCATCTTCAAGAAACTCAATAACTTGCAAAAGCAGGTAACAGCAAACGATTTCACATTATGGATTACAGACATAAGATCAATAATTTATAATTGTAGCCATCACAATGTCTACTTAATCAGACCAAAGGAAAAGTTACCCCCCCCCCCCAAGTTTCTGTGCATCATGAACTATCAAGACCCACTGTTTTCTGCTCCTGAGAGACATAACTGTGACCCCCACAGTGACCTTACGTGTTGAACACCAGGTGAAGCAGTATGAAATGGGGGATCCAACCTCAAGAGAGACAAAGCAAACAATAAAAATTTCTCATATTTTTATGCCTCCATCGACACAATTTAGAAAATTTGTTGAGGCCAACCTGGGCTGAGATGGATACAACATCCCAGGAGAAAGACCAAGATACTCGATAAAAATCTTCCTCACTTGTAAGTGAGACAAGGCAAACCCCTTTTTCAGAACAAAAGACAAAGAAAATGAAATATAATAACATACTGCTTGGTACAGGGCAATTTGGAGCAAAGTTACTTTGAAGATAAGATAAAATAAGATGAGGTAATATAAAATAAGATAAGATATGATGATAATCTTTATTGTCCAGATCCTGGCACATTGGTTCAGCGTTTCACCATGCACACACACACACGCACACGTATATACACACACACACACAAGGTTACTCACCACAGTCGACTTCAGACAGGTCAGTTTCTCTCTCGGGGTCAGCAGGTTGCCAAGGTTGGCCAGCTCCACAACCTGCACACACACACACAAACACACAGCTGGAGTTTAGTTTTAGTAAGAGTTTTACGGCACTTGCAGTGCAACATAATAAGGTCATACAAGTGCCGAATATTAGAGGTGTTACAAGAGAGTAACAAACACAAAAAAGGAGGAAAGATAAGGACGATAGATGTTTGACAAGAAAGAAAGAGTAAACCACATCAAAGTACCCACCAATCACCCACAGACAGCCAAAGGATCTGGTAAAAGATTGGGATTTGTGGAGAACTCTTGTCGGTGGCCTATGTCCCCAGCGGGACCACGTGAGAAAAATAAGTAGGTTAGTAGGTGAGTAAGTAAGTAAGGTAATTGAAGTCGGGTGGGTCGGTAGGTACGTAGGTTGGTAGGTAGATAGGTAAGTAAGTGAAGAAGACTAAGGAGAAACAATATAATCTGAGAAGGAATTGATTGACAAATAAAAAGGTACCAATCCATCTAATTCATACAACTAATGTATGTCTTGAAAAAACTCATTCCAGTATTTTTGCACTCTGGCATAGAGCGCATGATATACCTTATCCACTGAAGGATTAATAATAAAGTATGGAATGCCTGTGGTGATATTTCTTTTGTTGCATTTCCGTTCCCTGTAGTCTCGTCTGCCACAGCTTGCGTTAGTGTCACTCAGTTGAGTTGTGTAGCTGTGCTGTGTCGCTCAGTTGTGTCATGTAGCTGTGCTGCATCGCTCAGTGTGTAGTGTAAATGTGCTGTGTTGCTCAGGTAATTATGCTGTATCGCGAAATGTGTAGTGCAGCTGTGCTGTGTCGCTCAGTGAGTAGTGTAAAAAGCTGTGTTGCTCAGTGTGTAGTGTAAATGAGCTGTGTTGCTCAGTGAGTAATGTAAATGTGCTGTTGCTAAGTGTGTAGTGTAGTTATGCTGTGTCGCTAAGTGTGTAGTGTAAATGTGCTGTGTTGTTCAGTGTGTAGTGTAAATGTGCTATTTTGTTAAGTGTGTAGTATAGTTATGCTGTGTCACTAAGTGTGTAGTGTAGCTGTGCTGTGTCCAGTGTCCATTAAATTGTGTTTTATCGTCAGTCATTGTCTACACTCAAAGTAGCCGGACGTTTTTTTGTTTAATAAACCCAAGTTTTCAGGTAAGGCTAATTCATCTTGCTTTACTACAAAGCCTACATGTGTCACATGGTGGTGGAATCAGGCTCTTGTCAATTTTTGGGGGCATGTGGAGTTATTGGTATCATATTGAAGCTAGTTCATTTGTCTTGCTTTCGATGAAAAAAATTACACGTCTATCTTCAATAGAAGTCAAGATATTTTGGACTGAAGGAGATAAGGGTCACCTGCTTTAAGAGACCAAATTAGCCAGAACATGGCCACCAAAGTTTAGTGAGTTTCAAAGTTCGAGAGTCCTTGGAAATGATACATTTACATTTTTGTGTGCCTTTAATCAAAGTTTTTCAGTAAAATCCACACAGCAATGTGCATTAAATGGAAATAAAAGGTGTTGAGCCCCCAAAAAATAAAAATTCAATAAAAATTGCCAATTAGGAGGAAAAATGCCAATTTCTCCTATTGCATTATCTTGACGTGCGACTGATTTCAACACGATGCCTCATATCTTTTCTAATAAGCGAAGAGACAAAGGCACAATTCAGACAAAGTGTTTGAACTCACCGCCATAGGGAGAGGGCAGGAGAACTCTCTCCGCACACCAATCTGCTCAGGCTTGACCCGGTTCAGTTTCTGACCCTTCGACAATAAAGTCTGGTCCTCCTTGCTCAGGTGTTGCGAGATGACCGGGAAAACTTTCTTGTACACCAAGCTCATCAAATAACTGACCAGGATAACCCAAAAAACACAAAAACAAATGGTACTCAAAGTTCATTAAATAACTGAGCAGGGTTTATTTTTAAAAAATAGTACACAAAGCTCACTAAATAACTGACCAGGATAATAAATTTTTTTTTATGTACACGAAGTCCATTAAATAATTGACTAGGATTATTTAAAATGTGTACAGGAAGCTCATTAAATAACTGACCAGTATTTTTTAAAATGAGTACATGAAGCTAATTAAATAACTGACCAGGATTTTTTAAAATGTGTACACGAAGCTCATTAAATAAGTGACCAGGACTTTTAAAAATTGTACACGAAGCTCATCCAATAATTTACCAGGATTTTTAAAAAAGAAAAGAAAGAAGGACACATATTATTATAGACAACGGGTGAGGGTGGAGACATCAAAACTGCAGGACAAGAAGAAAAATAAATTTGTTTTGACCCTCAAAACTTCTTTTAAAGAATAAACAAAACTAAGTGGAGGGAACAATCTTCCAAGAACATTAGGTCTGGCAACTTCCATTCAACTCTTATTATTCAGCCTTATGCATCCAGGTAATGACAATTCTCCTATGCACCAAATCAATCAAGAAACCAAACAAAATGCGAGAAACTACTCTGTCATCCCCTGCAAACTATCTGGTTTACCAACCACCTGTAAACTGTACTGTCACCACCTGTAAAATAGCAACAAAATAAGCAGAAAAAAACTTCAAAAGCGGTACTCACCTCTCAATGGCCCCAGCTAAAACCTCAATGAACTTGATATCAGAGGCCAAAGGTTGTCTCAAACAAAGACTCATTTTCTGAAAATACAAAGTTAAAAAATTAATCAATTCAAGCGATAGCATACACTGTTTAGCAATGTACCCAAAATATAAATGTAAAAAGATGAATGATAGATTTAAACGTTTGATCCAGGACACAAAAGACGAGCAATGAAAAGAGACACAAAGACTTCCTTGCATACTCTGTTCTGTGACAATCTTTCTACCTTATTGTAACAAAAAAAGGTTGCTGTCCTCATTTTGTATTTATTTAAAAATTTCAAACTCCTCACTGTTTTCAGAATCATCTGTTTAGTAGAGGTTTTTTGGCGCTCGCAACTGCATAAGGTCATATGAGCGCCAAGGGGTGGATGTCAACAGAGAAGTCCTTAGAGGGAATCGGGCTTACTCTGCTCATCTCTCTAGCTTCAACAGCACAAAGTCTGCTTTGACTATCAAGGCACCCCGGAAATAGTGGGTCACAAGAGTGTGATAAACATACAAAAGAAGTAGAGGAAAATGACAATAGTAAGGATTAGGAAAGAAAAAGCAGCAGTTCCCTATTGTAGATCAGGCACAGTTATGAGCGTGACATTGATGAATCAACCCATTTACAATTCTACAGTGCATGAACGAGAAATGTCCTCCCTTTGGGAATGGCCTAAAGACACTTCAGTCAGTGAGCCCACATACAAACATTCACAAATAAACACACACACACATACATCTCAACCCATATCAAATGTAAGCCACAGCACATACAAATATAAGTTTTCATACCTTGAAAGAGGCGGCATGAATATCTTCAAACTAAGCTATACCATCATCTACATAGTCAGATTTATTAAGAAATTTACATTACTTGCAAAACAAATAGATCATACAAGTGCCGAAGATTAGGTGTTATTAGAGAATAACATACAAAGAAAAAACACAGAAGAGATAACGACAATAGATGTTTGTGTTAGTAGAGGTTTTACTGCACTTGCAACACAATAAGGTCATATAAGTGCCGAAGAATAGATGTGTTACAAGAGAGCAACATACACAAAAAAGAAGGAGGAGAGATAAGTTTTAGTAGAGATTTTACGGCGCTCGCAACTGCATAAGGTCATATGAGCGCCAGAGGTGTTACAAGAGAGTAACAAACATAAAAAAGAACAAGGGGAGAGAAGGACGACAGATGTTTGATAGGAAAGAAGGAGCAAACCACACCAGAGCACCCGCCAATAGATGTTTGATAGGAAAAAAGGAGCAAATAACACTAGAGCATATGTATTAGATGTAAACACCCACATATACCAATACACACATAAAGACACAGTTTTGTAAACTTTGAGAGAGGCAGCACATAAAAAATCTTCCTAACCAGCTCTAGCGCCATCTTGATAGCCATAGAGTATCATACGTACGCACACCGCTGCATGCATGACCACAACCATAAAACATGAAAAGACCATTGCATACCTTGAGAGAGGCAGCAAGAATATCTTCCTACCCAGTTTTAGTTTTAGTTTTAGTAAGAGTTTTACGGCACTTGCAACACAATAAGGTCATATAAGTGCTGAAGACTAGAGGTGTTACAAGAGAGTAACAAACACAAAAAAGAAGGAGGGGAGATAAAGACGATAGATGTTTGATAGGAAAAAAGAAGCAAACCACACCAGAACACCCGCGAACCACCCACTTCCTACCCAGCTCCAACGCCATTTAGAAGCCATAGAGTATCACATGAACACAAACCAATACATACATGAAACACAACCATAACATATGAAAACACAAGTTTGCATACCCTGAGAGAGGCAGCACTAATATCTTCCAGTCTCGCTCTGGCGTCATCGAGATAGTCAGGAAGTATCATGTAGTGTCGGCAAAAATACTCAATGTTTTTGTCCAGCTGCTCAAGGGCCTAGCAGGAACAAAGGAAGAAAACAAGGAAGTAAGGAATAGAAAATTAAGACAAACATGTGTGTGAGCGTAACAGAAATAAGAAACATGGGGAAACTCAGACAGGGCCTGAAGTGGAAATCTATGTGCATGTACAAACACAAACACAAAAATTTGTTTTAATAGTCAAAACATTCAGAGGGGGAAAAAAGCTGATCAATGGCCTTGCGTGAACAAAGTAATAAAATATGGAAGTAGAAATAAAAAGAAAAGAAAAATATGAGTGAATGTAACTGTCATATAATGAAATAACGAGACACAGACAGGGCAAGAAGTAGAGAGAACAAGTGCATGCCACAAAGACAAACTGAAATATATCGGAAAGAAATGAAAGAAGAAAAAGATTGGTTAACAGACGCAGTTTACCTAGACAGGAGAGAATGAGAGAAAAGCATTTTAAGAAACAGAAAGCGAAAAAAATAGAAAAACACTTTAACCTACAATCTTAGAAGTAAAAAGTTGCAATGTATATGGCAAACCCAGAAAATGACACGTTTCTAACTTGAAATTTAATAAAGTTTTCGTAGTTAAAGTGTCTTGAGCCTCTCTCTGTGCTCCTTCAACACCATATTTGAAAGACAGAACTCCCACTCTTTTTATTTTCTGAGATAAAAGTAGGTAAACTTGTGTTATACACTTCAGGGACAAAAATAGGAAGCAGGAAAAATTTGAACTCAAATAGATAAATCTCTAAGGTGAGTGAAACTTATAGATAAAACCTTGTAATTTTGGGGGTCCCGATTATACAAATGTGAATGAACAAAGAAAGTGATGTGTTTTTCTTCACAATGATTGCTGTATCAGATTAAATTGACAACTTTTTCTTTTGTGCATCAGTTCACAGGTTATATATGTACTTTCCTTTAAATATAAAGTTCTATTTAGCACATTGTTTATTTCCCACAGACAACTACCACTGAGGTGAAAAGTACTTACTGTCTTGAACTCTGAGAAAGACTTCAAGAATGCTGTGCATCTGCATAAGGAACAAAAAGAATTGATAACATTTTCAAATGAAAAAAGATGAAATCTTCAAGTAACTAAAGACCTTTTTAGTGCCATTACTTCGACAATGTTATTACCATTTCCGAGATTTAATTACAATATTATAATTTTAAACTGAAAAACTGAAAGGCATAGTAGTAAGTATAACCAGGATCACTCCAGAAAATGAATCCCTCAGAAAAAGAGATGAGTGAGTGTACAAGGTTTTCTTGGGGAAGGGAGTTTGAGTAAATGCAAATGTTTTATATTCTCACAGACAAAATTTAGATCATTTAAGAGGCGGGCTGCTTCTACCCTACCTGTCACAGCCAAGCCCAGCTGTAAAGGAAACACCCCAACTGACATGTGGAGATACTCAATAAAAATTCTCACCATGCAAGAATTGAACTCATGTCCTCTGAATGCAACAGAAAGAACCTAACAGGCAGACCCCACTCACCTACCGGTAGGGAAAGTAAGGGTTGGGGGAGGGGGGGTCTTTGCACATCACAAGAAACCTTCCTTACATACTACATCCCCAAACAATGAACACAAAAAGCACTCACTCAGCCACAGAAATCTTTGGTGTCTGTAACTCCTTTGTCTTCTTCTCCTCTCTCTGTGCTGATGTCACCTAACAGTGGAGAAAGGCAATCCAAAAGGAATAAAAACTAAAGAGTGAATAGAGTTCCTAAAAACTAAAGAGTGAATAGAGTTCCCTAGCCTAACACTGGAGAAAGGCAATTTAAAATGAAAAAAAATTACAGAGGGAATAGAGTTCTTTTACCAGTAAAATTCAAACAGTGAAATGGACAAAACTGATAAAGTAGACACAAAAATTTTGTGCAAACCACTGAAATGGGCAGATCTCATATGATAGGCAATAAACTTACTTTAAAAAGTAAAGGGTCTGAATTCTATTTATATTGACAATGGCAACAGCAACAAAAGTACCATGAAACATCTCAGAAACTTGTCATCACTAACAGACAATTTCCATATTCACACTCCCTGTAAGGACACCTTACATCATACAACATGTAATTATAAATCAAATCTCCACGCCCAAAATGCAATCAACACATGAGAATCAAACCACTCACTTTCAACGAAAAAGGCAATGCACAATAGACAATACACTTTCACATTAATCTTCATACCTTCATTGTAAGAAAAGCAAACAAATGCAAAATCTTTACTTTTCATCTCTGACATGTTAAAGACACAAAGGAAATTGCAAAATGATGAGAAAAAGATATCAGCCTTTGAAAAACACATCATTAAAATTTTTAATGTTAACTCAGACAACTCAAAATACATTTATTGTACCTGAAATTTTGAATTGAGAGGTCTCTCCAAGATGAGGATCTTGTACTGTTTGTAATCCTGGTAATATTCAGAGAATATCAAAATTGAGTTTAAGCCAAAATTAAAAAATGACATCAGTAAGTAAAATAGCATATGTGCATTCTCTATGTTATAAAAAAAACTTTCCTTTGTATTTACAACATTTCATGACATGGTTATTTTTAAGGACAAGCGGGCTAACCCACATTTCGGAGGTTTCCAGAAATCTTGACCGACACAAAAAAGTGGGCATTGCCCTACCTATAAGAGAAGTGTGGTTTCAATGGTGCACATATTTGTTTGGTTATAGAGAAAACTTTCCTTGTCTTTTAAAGAAACGGAACAAGGGGCAAAACTTTACCTTCGATTTTCTAAAAACAGCATTTTTCGGGATAGCCCCCTTGTGCTTAAAAGTGACCACATATCTTCTTAAAAAATGTGAAGACTTTTAACAGATTTGTTTTTACACAATTCTTTATCACTAGGTTTCTTTGAAGAAAACAAACGGGAGCTTTATTCAATCCTCTGGACAAAGACACCGGTGAAGAGGTTTATGTGTTTAGTCTTGTTTGGTAGTTTTATTATGCTTGCAACTGCATAAGGTGATATGGAGGTGGTATTTAGTATTGCTCTCTTGCAGCAGGATACAATGAAGTTGTACATATACAACAACAAAAATGAAAACGAAAATAGTCAGTACAAACCTTGTTGTAAGCCAACTCTTCACTCAGAATCTTCACTGACAATTCTTCTGGAAAACCTGAAAGGAAAGAAATGCCGGCATGAACTTTGAAGTACAAACAAGAAAATTCACTTTAAAAACCAATATTAGCGCGACCTGTAAAATCTTTCTAAGGAAAAAAAAAGTCTCACCAAAATGATCGTAGCTTGCTTTTATCAAATGACATTTATTTACAAAGGATATAAGGGATGTAAGAGACAATAAACATAAAAACTGCTGTGTAAAATATTTGTCTTCGCAAAATCTTATATAGTCAAAGGCAAGAAATAAATTCAAATAATTGCCAGACGCATTCATCAATCCCCCACAGTCACTAAACCAAAAGAAGAGAGAAAAAGGAAAAGTTCAAACAACATTGAGACTTAAAGGAGAGTCACAAGGTGGACAAATCTTGTTATTAAGTATACTGAATAACAATGTCAAATGTTTTTCCACAATCATCTAACTTCCATCAATTTCATGACACGAGAACATCAGCAAAAATTTTTAACACCTGAAAGTCTGTTCCTTAGTAAAGATCAAGTTTGGTTCACACCAACAAGCCCCCCCCCCAAAAAAACCCAACAACAACAACAAACAAACCCAACCCCCCCCCCAAAAAAAAATAATAATTAAAAATAAATTTAAAATCCCTATTTCTGACTTCCAGCCAAAATAAGATATTTTGAAAACAAAACCCCTTCAACGGTAACCCTGAATTTGGTCTGAAATTGGAAGTGTAGAGACTTTTTCCTCTCATTACACACCATTCAACTTCAAGATGAAAACTTAAAGTCTAATATATACAGACTGCGAAGGTTGTAACGAGGATTTGCTATTATTGTCTCTTCGTGATTTGAAAGATGCATCCGCTACGATATGTCTATCATCATACCTGTACAGCCACAGAGAAATTTACCACTGGGACAATAAAGTATCATCTCATCTTATCTTATTTTAATACCTTGCAAAGTGATCAAAACCTGTCCATCATCATTCATTTTCACAGTCTTTTTGCTGGAAGAGTGAGTGGTCATGTATTGCCTGAAACACAAAGAGAACAAGGAGTCTGCTCAATGACAGTCACTCAAAGTTAGCATCTATACACTGGACAAAGACAAGTATGTTTTAAAAGAAAAAAAAAGAATTTTGATTGAAAATGAGCCAGCCCCCTCCCCCCTCCAAAAAACTACCGCTGCAGGTATCAAATTTGAACTACAAACTGAGGTTTAAGTACTTCATCATGTATGACAGAAAGTATTAATTTTTGTTTTCAAAAGCTCTGACTATAGGAAAAACCAAACCAACGAAATACAACAAATGGTAATCCAGAAAAACTGTTCACACTCTCTTTTTATAATAACTTTCATATAAATATGATGCAGTCGAGTCTGGTTAAACAGAACAAATTTAATCTAAAAACACCAGTATTCCGAAAAAAATAAAATCCCCCATAATTTCTCCTTCACTGTTTGAGCAACCTTTCTACACCAAAACCATGGCTTATCCTCCAAAGAAACACTGGCAGTTCTGCAGATTTCGGTTTTTAAGCGCATTCCACATTATATATTTATATGTAAGCATACACGTACACAAACATGAAATAATATATTTTACAAAGACATTTCTTTTGATTTAAAAACGGCACACAAAAATCGTGACAACAATATTTACCCTTTGAAATATGGGGAAGGCCTCAGAATGTGAGTTTCTGAAAGATACAAAGACAGACTTATTGAATAACCAGCACATTGTGGTGTTCATAAAGTATACAATCCATATGAAAATAGACACATGCTCACATGTCAGCACACCTACACACACAGTTGATTCATGTGTGACGGAGCTGTGTGCATCTATCATTCAAGTAAACGGGTGTCCAAGTGCCTAAACTGGGAGTTTCATAGAACTATCAACACCTTCATGTCACATGAAACTCATGTACATGAATCCAAATTCTAAGTTTTTATTGTAGACAAACTGAGAAATGTGAAAGGTACAGAGGAATTCCACAATCCAAGAATGCCCAGGATCAGATAAATGAATCAAAAAGCTACTTGCAAAAATACTCTGTTAAAAATAGCATTCACTGACACTAAATCACCATACTGTCAACACATCAAATATCCACTGAAGCAGCAGGCATGATAAAAGGGAAAATATATAAATATAACTTCTTCAATAATAATAAATATTTTAATAATTGATTTATTCATTTATCATATTCCCTCATTTAAAAAATTCTTCTTCTGAATTTATTATTTCCTTCAGTTTAGTTAAAAACAATTCTAGGGGGAAAGAGGAAAACATCAAGAGTAAGCATATATTTACAGACATAGTATAAAAAAGTAAAAGCTCACATGATAGTTGCAGTGATTTAATTTGCTTTTCAAAATGTCAAGAAATAATCTCTCTCAAGATGTGGAGATCCGTTTGAAATTTCAGCTGAAGTTGAGCACTCACCGACAAAGTCTGAGTTGATAGTTCGTTGATCTAGAGATTCTGTCTGAGGTACACATATTGAGTAGCACCATTCTTGAGCTCGCTCATACAAGTCTATGTATTTGCTCTGAAACCGAGGAAAAAACCACAATCTGACATTTATTTTCCAACTCATTCATCAAATTCAAACAAGACTCAACAGGCAAGGCCCAAAGACAAGTAAACTCAGAGAAAAATTCCAATTGACCAAACTAAGACATCAAGACACAACAATCATCAATCGTTATCATCATACATTAATATGTGCCACATGAGACGAGAAAGTTAGTTTATACTTAGATCTGTAGGATCTTGACACAGACAGTTAGACAGATAATTTTTAATTGACCAGCGCTATTTGAAACGCCGCATTCCAAATAGCTTCTGTGCTAATCAAAATGCAGCATACTGATTAGCCCCGTGCTATTTGAAACGCCGGTACTAGTAGCCATCGGTTCTAATAACCGACTTTTCATTGCTCCACTGCCTGAATTGAGAAAGCTTTCTCAGTTTCTGGAAAAAACATCAAAGGATTTGACTCCATTTTTATGACGTTGTCTTATTCTGATCAATATTGGGTAGATCTAGATCTATAGTCTGAGCAACACCAAAAGGACAACTTGTCGACCTCAATACACAGAATCTAAGTGGTGAATTGCTCTGATTTTTTGCATGCACCCCTGAATTCCAAAAGACCTAAAAATGTCAATTTTATGCTATTGCGACAAATATTAAGAGGTGTTTTCTCTATAATCATTAGCATTTAATTACAGTCTGGGTGAGGCTCTTGGATTAGAACAAGAAAAGGAGTGTTAGTTTTTTTTATTCAACTAATTTCTGTCTTTTCAACTGACTGCGTGTTGTTGTCAGTCCAGCGGTTAGTGGGTGAAGGTGTGTTTGTTTAGATTGACAAATTGTGAAATAAACAATGTGTAAAATTTCTTTCATATCTTCAAAGTCTTTGAGATGGCACGCGTTTCAATTTGCTTTCGCTTTTTACAGTCACCATGGTTAAATTAATTAATTTACAAACTCCTCAAAAAACGTTGCCCACTAATACTGAACTATTTCTCCAAAGAAGTTGATCGAGGCCGTCTCTTTTATTCTAGAAAAAAATCCCGAAGAAAGACGTGCTGTAGTTACAGGACTACCCGATTATGCTGCTCTGATGGATCAAAGGGAATGAAAATCCACAAGCCAAACAACAAATATCAAATAAAAAGACGCATAATACTTCCAATAATACTACTTTCATATTCAAGTGGCTCCAAACTCTATGGGGAGGGGGGAGCCCAGTGACATGCCCATAAGAGCTTCAAATCTAGCTCTTAGTTGACCCCCTGTTTTGAGATAGACCAAAAGTTCTGGCTAAGCCCCCTGCAATGACATCCTGTATTGATTTTTGAGAAAAAATTTTTGGTAAGTGTTTTACGGCGCTTGCAACTGCATAAGGTCATGTGAGTGCGCGGGACACACCTAACATTTTCAGAGGGTAAGAAATTTTGAATTTTGCCCAGGTGAGGTCCGAAGCCTACTCTTATCCATTTTAGACCACCAAAGGATCTTTAACGAGCGCAACTTGCACACGGGACTGCCAAGATTTTTAGCCCTTGTCCGAGAAGCTAGGTGTAGATCTTATACCTACCATTAAGATCATGGGTGAGGCTGAAAGACAGCAGGAAAAAGGGGCCAAGGAGAAGCAGTAGAGAGGCTGCAGAAAGAGTCAGGAGCCTAGAGGAAGGTGAGGGGGTGGGGGCAGAAAGTGGAGACAAAAGCAGACGACAGAACACTGCTAAAGAGCAGGAAAGGATGTGAAAGGAGAAAATTTTAGATAAGAAAATTTTTGGTCGCTACCCGGATTCGAACCTGGGACTTTTTTAATGAAAGGTGAACACCTAAACCTCTAGGCCATGAGAGCCCCCTGTGTTGAGTTTAATGAGCAATTAATTATTAATGGTTATAATATAGACTCTATAGCACCTCTATTTGTCGGATATGCATGAAAATCGAGATATCATAGTTCTTTTAGAAATCATAGGCGCATGCAAAAATCAGAGCGATTCGCCACTTAGATTCGGTGTAATGAGGTTGGCAAGTTGTCCATTTGGTGTTGCTCATACTATCTGTCCCCGCAGAATTATGCAAATTTAGATGGCCAAATTATGCAAAAATTATGCAAGTTACCGTAACGCCATTCACGACATGTTTTGCGTTTTTTCAAGAATTTTCATGTTCTAATTCTATGTACAGAAGAACTGAAAACAGAACATATCAGTATCAGTAGTTTTTTGGCGCATTTGTAAAGAAACACATCAGTCAGAAAAAAAACAACCAAAAAATATAATCTCTGAAACTTTCAGCTGCGTACGGCAAAGAAGAATTATTTTTACAAATTAAAAAAAAGACATAAAAAAAAAATCTGGACCTCCGACTCTGGCACATCACTAAAACCAGGGACATCTGTTAAATATGAAACATCAGCAGACATGAGAATACTTTTACTTTTGATGGATTCAAAAATTGAACGTGCCCAAGGAACAAAAATCCCTAACAAGGGAAATAACCAACTTGTCACTTAAATGGGGACTTATTACTCTCTGATTATTTCCCTTTACTCACACAGCGAGTTGTTAAGTTAATTTTTGTGAAAAATGCAAAAAAAACCGAGAAAAAACGCGAGCAATCCAAAATTATGCAAATGTAGCAGAATTATGCGAAAAAACACGGCCGCATCGCATAATCTGACGGAGACAGTAACTATAACAGTTGTTTCTGACTTCGTTTGCACAAAATTGAAAACTAGTCTAGTTCATTGCTCATAATCATCATATTATAATAATTTGAGTTTGAGCAAGCAAGTCCAAAGACACTTGGATTAACAAGCGCAACTTGGTAGGTGCTATTTCCTGTCCGCAGTGTCTCCATAGCCTAAATAAAAATAATTATCTCTGCACGAACTTTACGGTCGTAACAACGAAAGCCCATTGTTCAGTACAACGTATTACTACAGTAATTCCTTACCTATCTTCTTTGGAGAATCTAGTGTTACTATAAAATTAATATTACTGTCTTTAGGTAAGGCACTTTATCCTGCTTATCTCACTTGACTCAGGAGTGAAATGAGCACATGGTTATCGGTATTGTATGCTCTCCAAGGAGTTGAGAAGTTACATGTATTTTTTTATGTATTGGCCTGCCAGAGGGATAAACAATGTATAGTCTGTACTGTGCAGGAAATGGCCTCTTTATCTTGAAGAAGGAGGGGGAGGAGGAGGAGGAGGAAGAGGAGGAGGAGGAGGAGGAAGAGGAGGAGGAGCCATCACGTGGATATTCCGTCCTTGGCACTCTGGAATGAAAGGCAATGAGGAGGCTGATAGGCTGGCAGGCAATGCCGTGGTTGATGGTGAGGTGAAATTTGACAAAGAAGTGTTGAAGACCCTAGAGAAAAAGTTGCGGGATGAAGAAGATAAGGAGACAGCAGAACACCACGCAATCATTAGGATGCGGGAAATGGGGATAGAGAGGGGAGAAGGAAGAAAGGAACGATTATCTGGAAAGGAAAGACGTCGCCATAATCAGACAGCCATCGGCACAATCAGTATGTATGGATACCTTCCCCTCCCCGCTTTTGGGGGGGGGGGGGGAACCGGAAACCGCCCCCTTTTTGTTACTTTTTTTTTGCCCAAGTTATGGACCTGTCTGGTGTGCAATGACGTTGTTGCCCAGGACAGGTAATACAGGTACGGGTCAAAACTAACATCCCCAAATGGGACCCAGTTGGCCCGGATTCTTAAGTAGTACCAAATCCCTGCCCCCCCCCCCCCCCCCCCCCACCTCCATATATTAGGTCGGGGAGGGGGGGGGGGGGCAAGCCCCCCTCAAACCCCCCTACTCTTGACTTCAACGAACGAAACTATAAAATCGCCCTTTCCGTCTCCATCATCTTCAACTTCAGTAAACTTGTCAACAATAAAACAGTACAATCATTAAACAAACCTGAAGTGCTTTATAAAATGGGTTGATTTCAAGTTCATCAATATCGTAAGACATGGTGATTTCCCTAGGTATTTTAACTATTTAATCACGAAAATACCAAGAAAAGATTCGTCAGTCGGCGTCATAGTCACACTGACACTCAAGAAAAGCTGAACAAAGGGATGTTACTCTCAATAGTTTTCCTCAATCTTCAGTCGCAGCGTAGCACGTAGCAGTAGAAGTATAAAATACGGCGGGAGAGGTTTGAGAATTAATTGGCAAGCCAAGAAGAGATCAGATAGGTAGCCTAGCCTACAAAACTGTAAACACTGATCTCAAGTCTCAAGGATTCTGTTTTCAGTTCTCAGTGGCTCAGTGTTATCAGATCAGTTTCCCCCAAATATCTCCAGTAAGATCTAGTGAGAATATTCAGGTTTTGGGGCTCTCGTGACCTAGATTAGAGAGGTTCGGGAGGAGCTAGATATATAATATACACATACCCTTGACACCGGGCCTTGAGGACCATTTTCTATGTTTGTTGCCCAAGATCAAATCTAGATTAGATCTAGATCTAGATCTAGATCTAGATAATCTAATCTAGATCTATATATCTAGATATAGATATAGATATAGATTAGATCTCTAGATCAAGTGCGAAAAATCTCGAAGGGCCCATGTGCAAGTTGCACACGTTAAAGATCCCTTGGTCTAGATGGAGAGTAGGCTTCAGCTGCCACCAGGGCAAACTTTAAAAAATTTCGTACCAACTGAAAAAGTTTAATGTGTCCCGCCTTAAAACACTTACCCTATAAACACTTTTAAATTCAGGTTTTACTTTTAGAAATAAAAGTACATGTTTCTTCACCTCTGTAAAAAATCAGTTGAAATAAATGATGATGTGGCTCAAAATCAAAACTGATTGTTCTTGTACTTTGGATGGCATGATGGGAGGGGTCAGGATAGGTGACATGTCTTTACAATGTAACCCTCCTTCAATATAATAGTAGGCTGTAGTGAGAGAGGTTCCAAACTTTAACATAAAAGCCACTCAGATTCACATATGCATTTCTGATATTTTGGTTCTCTTCAGGAGAAGTGGTACCGGCCTAACTCTAACTGAACTAACTCCTTAGAAATTTTATACGGTATTTTTTTACTTTCCCTCCCGTCTCACACTCAGCTACCAGCTTGCACACGGGACTGCCAAGATTTTTAGCCCTTGTCCGA